GTAGCTTTGCGCGAAATCCATAACAAACAAACAAACATGATTTACTTTAACAATGAGTATGGCGCCCCCTTCAATTCGAGCATTGACTATTACTCCCGCTGAAAATGTTTTTCTGTTTCATTTATTAATTACTAATGAAAGGCATTGTTAAACAATATAATTAAGTCAGAAATTTAAAAAAATAATGGATTCTATTTGTCTATTCGTTCTGCTTCTGCTTACCGCTCACAGACTGCAGTTCGAGCTGTTTGTTTTGGACTTTACTTTTTGCAAAACATCTTTTGTCAACAACAAACGACAAAATGACCAGTCCAGGAAAAAACAGAAGCGTCACCAAAGCTTCCCATATTTCAACTTCATCTGGAGACACAGCAATCAGAATTATCAGCAACCAGAGGTAGGAGAACACGCTGAAAAACGACGTAATCACAAAAACCTACAAATAAATAATAATAATAAAAGAAATATTACAGAGATCACAGCAACCAGAATTATCAGAAACCAAATGTAGGGGAACACTGAGAAACGGATGTAGTCTCAAAAATTCTTTAAAAAAGATCAAAAAGAGGAGATCCTACATAGAAACTATCTTATGCAAGTACCCAGGATTGAAAGGCTAATGGAAATTATTTGATGGATACATGTCATTGTGTTTTGTTCTCAAAGAGGGCCTGACATTGTCTGGTGTGTCCCGGGTTCGAATCCCCCGTCACAGAACATGCTAGCCCTTTCAGCCGTGAGGGCATTATAATGTTACGGTTAATCTCACTGTTCGTTGGTAAAAGTAGCCCAAGAGTTTGCGGTGGGTGATGTTGACTATCTGCCTTCTCTCCAGTCTGTCACTGCTAAATTAGGGGCAGTTAGCGCAGATGGGCCTCGTATAGCTTTGAATAAAATTCAAACCAAACAAACAAACTGTCCACAAAGTCCAGAAGTGGACTATAAGAGTGTTAGTAATAATTATAGTTTAAAATCATCAAAACTTGAAGGCCATTTTAAATATTGATCTGCCTCGCTTTCAAAAACATTGTAACATTGAGAATTCGCCCGATTTTTAGCGTTATAAGGAGTAACTATGATATTATAACAGTCGTGGGTTACTTTCCACTGTCCTTTTCTCCATTAGGATTTGAATCTGAACCAGTGTTTACGTCCTCCGTAAGGAAATTGATTTAGGACTAAACTAAATCTCGTAAGCTGGTCGTACCTCGTGAGATATTATTAGGTTTAAGGCCGAAAATATCGTTAACAGCGAAGTTGCCCAACTGGTTAGATAATGCATTCTAATTTTTATTATTTTTCAGAACTTGTAGTACATTCTGGAAGGACTTAGGCAATTTGGCAAAGAGTTATTGCCCTACTAGCCCTGATGAAGCCACAGTGACAGAAATAAACAACTTATCATTATTATTATTATCTGGGGAGTAAACCTCTCTTTTTTTTTTCCTACCCTTTATTAAAATAACATATAATAAAAGTATATTTAAGTACGTAGCTTGCTCTGACCCGAAGTTAATTTATTACAATAATCCCCGCGAAAGTTTATTCAACAGCTCAGTTTTAATCAAATTATTTAACATATGTATATATATAGAGAGATAAGTTTTGGAAGACAGTGAATAATGAATGTCACTAAGATAAAGAAATAACGATTCTTAGAAAATTTCGTTCTATTTGTTTGTTTGTAATTAACCACAATGCCCACCATGG